ACATATGAACCTTTAAAACATTTCATTAAAAAATTGGCAGAAAACTATCATGGGATGTGATTTCTAATAATAGTGGTAAATGAAATTAACTTTCTATTTCGTATGAATAACAGGGCCTAGATTTAATACAGCACAAAGTGGACTGGGATGTAGATGTCCTCGACAGTGACCTAAGGAGATAGGAAGTTCGAATCCAAATGAAGATTTGAAAGTTCCTATGTTACTTGTATGTCTATATATCAGTAATATGGAACTTTCAAGTATCATAGGAACAATTGCAGGCACCAGCTATTGGTTTATTGTCCTGCTTAAGACTGGAGGTGGATTATCCGATTGCATGATTCTTACAAGTTACAACCTAGAGACTGCAATCCTGGCTGTTTCAAGGACTTGATGATTTCTATCTAGATTGGGATTTTTCATCAAGTTTATCATTGTAAAATTAGATTATGTGTATATTTCCTTTATAATATAGCACTTGTACTCTGTCAAAAGAAAAATAAGCATAGTAGAGAAAAAAACTCCCCACATCGAATTATTTTGATTTAAGAACCGACGGAGGCAATTATTTTTATTTATTTGTTTTCTTTAGCCAAGGGGATTTTTGGGAGAGGGAGAATGGGATTCAAAACGCAGCACATTAAGAGCTGGAAAAGGGTTAAGAAGCAGAGGGCACTAGTTGCCCCAGTTGCTAGGGTTTGCCTTTATAGGTGGCAACTGAACTGACAAGAAAAACTGGAATTATTAAAGGTTTTTTCTTTTTAAGAAAAATGCTGGATTTCTTCATAAATGGTCTCTTTTTTCAAGGAAAAGTAAAAAGGAAAGGATCAGAGGAAACCCACTTACTTAGAGAATGCAGTGATAGTAGTTTTTCATTTTTCTTGATGGAAATTGTGCAGAAAAATTTTAATAAAATGAATGAAAAAAAAATGATGCTATGGTAAGCATACTTGCAGAAGAAATCCATCAATGGTGCCACGTGAAAGGGGACATTTAATCCACAAAATAAACAACAATTAACAAAGCAAAACTGAAATAACGCTTTAGAAAATGTAGGACAAAATGGGAATTTCAGCATTTTCTCTTTGACTGCTATTATCTTATCAGAAGAATTTATATAATCTCTTGAGAGAGAGAAGGAAAGGAAAGGTTGTGATTTGTTTAGTAATTTTGTTGTCCGAAAGA